CCCAGCTGATTACCCTCCACATGATCTCCATAGCTATGATTCTGTTCCTGTTCTGGTTGTATGCTTAGTTGTGTTTGTTTGTTTGTTTGTTTGTTTGTTTAAGATTCAGTTGTTGATAGTTGTGAATTTGTTGTCATGTTCATATTCATAGTTTAGATCTTTTTCTTAAATAATTCTCTTTAACATTTCATGTAATAATGGCTTGGTGATGATGAACTCTTTAGCTTTACCTTGTCTTGAAAGCACATTATCTGCCCACCTGCTGGCTCTGAGCGGGAGGGCTCAGAAAAGGAACATTGCCCTCTGCCAGCACTTTTGTCTGGGAGAAAGCTACCCCTTCCAGCCCTTTGATTCCAGACACTTCAGCTCCTCTCCATATGTCCCTGGTGACTTTTGGGCTGCTGCCCCAGTGCTGGAACTCAGAGGGAGTGAATTTGAGTAAGTCCGTGCTGGGCCCTTTAAGAAGAATGCATGGGACTCCAGAAGCCCTCTGTCTGCCTCAGCCACAATTCCCCACTGGTTTTCACAGCCAGAAGTTATGGAAACTTCTCTTCCCAGCACTGGAGTCTTGGGCTTGGGGGCCTGGTGTGGGGCTGTGACCCCTTGCTTGTCAGAAGGTACCTCTGCAGCTAAGATGTCCCTCCCAGTTTCTATTCACCACATAATAGGTGTGGGACCAGATGCGTCTACGTCTCTGCCCCCTCCTACCAGTCTCAGTGTGGCTCTTTGTTTGTTTCAATCCTTAGTTGTAAGATTTCCATTCAGCTAGATTTCAGGTGGTTTTGAATGGTAGTTGTTCTGTAGTTCAGCTGTGTTGTGTATAACTTTTGACTCCCCTAAAGCTTAACTACAGTCATACCTCTGTATCCACAGAGGATTGGTTCCAGGACCCCCCTGCTTCCCGTGGATAACAAAATCTATCCACAGATGCTGAGATCCCTCATATAAAATGGCATAGAACAATGCATATGGTTGGCTCTCCACATCTGTGAGTTCCCAACCAACCATGGCATATGGTGGGATTTCGATTATCCCAATCGAAAAATACTGTTTTTGATCCACAGTTGATTGAATCTGTAGATGCAAAACCCAGGGATATAGAGGACTGACTGCATAGTTATTGAAAAAAAAAAAAACAACCCCACATGTAAGTGGACGAGCAGGTCAAACCCATGTCGCTCACGATTCCGTTATAGCTGATTTTCACAACCTGTTCTAACATCCTGTTCTGCCCCACGAATGAGACGGAGCTCAGGGTGAAGCGCTGCCAGTCAGTGTCGTCTCACGAGTGCTGTCCAGGGACACAGCGCTGTCTTGTTAGACATTGTGATCTAACAAAAACAAACCTTCACGTCTTGAAAGCTTGGGTTATTGCATCCTCTTCTCCACGTCGTGTTGTTCGCAGATGGTGTACAGGTAGCCAGTAATGTTCTGGCACTTCCCATACTTGGGAATGGCTTTGTCAATTCTTGTTTCACATGAGTCAAGACATTTCCATTACTCCTTTTCAGAGATTGCTCTCCCGGTGACAGTGTTCACTTTACTGTACTGCATGTTATTTTCCTCCATCGTACGATGCATTGTGCTCTCTGCAGGTTACCCCCTCTCCTTTCCACTGGACCGCCTGTAGTGTTTCCCCTTTTGTGGGACCCCAGTCATAACCATGTCCCAGTTATATTCTTTTTCAAGAGAGAACATGGAAAAGTCCTGACTTCCGATATTTTTGTTAATCTTCAGTCGCCACTTACTGAGCTCTGCCAGCAAGTGGAGGGTTTTATTGGACAGAAACACATACTCATTGCCCCAGGATCTTGCAACCTGATTTAATGCCAGGCAACCAATGCAGATATAGACTCGTGAATGGCATTGTGAGAAGACAGTTGAGTGGCACAGGCATGAGGCTATTGTCTTCTACCAACAGACCACTTTGTGCCAATCCCTAGGTTTAGGGATGAAAGAAGCAGCAATCTGTGTTGCTGAGTAATATTGCCACATACAGCAGGTCCACCCTGCACTTCACAAGCGAGAACTAGTCTCCAAGGAGACAGGTGGTGTTGCAGCCTTGTCAATATCCAAGAAAACAAGTCAGATACCCACTCATTCTTGCCTGTGCCTTATGGCTCTTCACCGCATCCTGTTATCTCGTTTTAAATGGCAACCTCATCGACCTGATTCCACAAACACCACAAGGCTATAATGCCAGGTTAGAGCCACAGCAGCCCAGTCCCGTCCACAGCATGGCATAGGGCAATATCTGGGAACAAACAGGCCTGGTGCCTGCCCTCAGGAGCAAATGGTCCAAGTTGAAGATCACATGTAAACATTTGTGTCTTTTAAATGTTACTGTTTTCCTGAACAAATTTTTGACTTGCTATAGTTTTTCCCAGATCACATTCACCCTGTCTTTCCAAGGTGGGAAGATGTTTGTTTAGACATTATTTCACCTAAGACAATGGTGCCACCAGCCAGCCTGTCCCCAGGGGGACCCATGGAGCTAGCCATCCCTGTTGATGGACCACCCAGTAGGAGCAAGGCCCCAGCTAGGAGAGTACCCCACCCCGGGCAGGAACGGAAACCCAGCCACTGTCTTGGAATGCTCTCCTCCCAACCACATATCTCCAGGGCCAAATAGTTGGCGGCAAACGGCAGACGTCTCCTCTCCCAGGTGAGACACCCTGCCCTTCTACTTGAGTGGGGGGAGCAGGAGGAGCTCCAACCGTTTACACAGGACTAGCCCGTCATCAGTCACCTAGAGAAACAGTGCAGTTGGCCTTACAATTTCACGTTTCCCCTCCCTTACTCAGTGTACGACTTATTATAGGCTATGGGTCTGTGAGCCCACTTGTCTGCCCTTTGCTTTCCTTATACTCTGGTCCACTTACTGTTTGATAGTCTCATTTCAACCTGCCCTCTAGGGAAGCAAAACACAACAAAAGTTCTATTGTTCACAAGGAACAAATGAATGCTTATGTCAAAAGTCTATATTTGCGGCTACTTGTGAGTCTGAGGCCTGGGTCAAATGACTCCTCCACCCCGCCCCCCCATCAAACCTTATACCACAATGGACCCCACGTTGAGATACAGAACCGAGAGTGGAACCCAGTACAGCTACCAAGGTGTAATTAGTTTGAGCAGCTATTACTTCCAACTAACTCCTGAACTCTCAAATACCTCACACCCTAATTCTTATCTGCTTGCTTGAGTGCCCCCATGAGAACAAAAACTCTGAATTTCACTCTTCTTCTGAGTAAGGTCCTCTGTACATGTAGCTGGGGGCAGGGTGTCCGTCAGAAAAGGCAGAGCTGGCTTTCCCTAGCAGCCCTTATTCTCATTCTCGTGCATTCACTCTGAAGGTAATCGGGAAATTAAGGCATGGTTTTTTTCTGACTTGATATTTCAGAATGTCGAACTCACCTTTGCTCCCTTTCCTTCTGGCAGACCTGAAGATCTTTTCACAAGGTAACACGGCTCACTGACCTAAGTGGGCCCCAGGAGTGCTTCACACAGAGATTTTCTATTCTGAGGGATTCCGACAGAACTCCCTGGGGGAAGAACCATCTTGGCTGGCATACACCAGACTCCCTGGAATCAGTTACTAAATTACAATTCCTTAAAATCTGGAAGGATTTCAGAACTGCTATTGTTTTCCTGGTAAATGGCTGGATCACACTGGTGTCTTGGAGGAAGGCAACACATTTTAAATGTAAATTTCCAGAAACTGTAACTCAACTTCCCCAGCTCCTCCGGGATTTTCACTGGCCCAGACTCAGAAATTATTTTCATCTGTGGGATCCAAGACTTCAGAGACCAAACATTTCCTGAAGACCTTCCACTGCTTTCCGACCTTTACCTACCTCCTCCCAAAGAAATACAAAGAAACTTCTGATCAGCACACACAACCAGGAGTGCCCAGTGGGCCTAAGGTGCAAGGTAAGGGAATGTGAATTCAAGATTTGTTCTTGGCATTATGGTAGCTGATGGAAGGCATCAAGGGGGGTAGCTAACACCCCTTGTTTTAACAGGTAATTTCAGTTGCCCACTTAGGGAGCTTTTCTGAAGAATTGATTTTGTATATGGTGTGGGGTTGTTGTTGTTGTTGTTTTTTTTTTCCTATTCCAGAAACCACCAATGAACAAATAGGAGTTGATGGTTGGAGGAAGAGCAGCCAAGAACACTTAAAGTGTCAGCCTGGCACATTCAGAGGTTTTGAAATCCATTAACTCAGTTCTGCTGCCTCTCCCCCATAGCTTGTTAAAACCTGAGCTGGAGGCGTGGGGTTATTGGTTTGGGGAGAGGATTTGGGTGCCCTTATTAGGAGGTGTCCTGGCCTATTGTGCCGAGCTCAGTCACCCCGTGTTCTCCCACTTCAAAAAACTGCACATATTTTCGCTCGTACTTTCAAAAGTCTTGTCTGAACTAGACTTTTTCCGCTCCTTTAGGGTAGGAACTTTGCTTCCTTTCCATCCTGGCATCCTTACTCCCTCGTTCTTGAGCCTGTCCTTGCCAGTGGACTCTCTGTTAAGATGACTGGTGGGGTATTCTGGGCACTGCCAAGAGAGGTCCTGCCACTTGTCACCAATTATTCCAATTCTCGTCGCTTTTTTCTCTGTCATCGTCACCGACCGATGCCTCCTGCCAATCGTGACCCCAAGTTCAGGACATAGGACCTCTGGAGTGCCTCCCTCCCTTCCCCCTGGAGATGCTCTCCTCCCACACCCGTCCACCAAGCCACCAAAGCTCCCTGCAGTTCTGAGCCTGCGGCGCCCGACCCCTGGAGTCCGATGCCCACCTGGGCTTGCATACGGGCCCGAGCAGAGCGGAGCCAGGTGGCAGCAAGCAGGGCACACGGCCAGGGTGCCCAGCTCTCGGGGCTGCCCGCGAGGTGGAGCGGCCCTCGCGGCCGCTCCCTCTCCGCGCCTTTCCCATCGCCAAAGAGGACACCCCTCCTTCCGCCCGCCGCGGCGCCGCCCCACCGCCGCCCGCCCGCGCTGGCCCGGAGCCTCCCAGGCAGCCAGCGAGCGAGGGGAGCGCTCGGGGATGGGACTTGGAGGAGGCGGCCAAGGAGGATACAGCAGCGGCGGCGCGGGCTTTTTGCTCGGCTCCCACGAGCGGTCCCCGAGGACAGCCGCGGCTCTCGACGCGGCTCGGAGGCCCACGAGGAAGACCCAGGTGGCTGCGTCGCCGTCTCGCGTTCCAGCCGCCGGCGGCGGCTGCTGCAGGTGAGCAGGGCGCGCTGTCCCCGGGACTGTGCGCGGCCTCGCTGCTCCGGGGCGCAGACGCGCGGACCGACCGACTTACTGACAGACAGGGAGCGCTGGGCTGACCGACGCCCGCGGGTGCTGTACCCCCTCCTCCCCTCTCGCCCTGCAGCTCCGCGCGGCCCCGAGCGCCAGGCGTCCCTTCTCCGCCCATTGCTCTGACCCCTGGGGACAGACCGCGACAGGGAGTGCCGCGCTGCCCCTACCCCTCGCCGGCAGAAGTCAAACCACCCGGGTCCAGCGAGTTGGGCGCGCTCCCTGCGCGTGGCGCACCGCACAGCAGCCACCTCGCCGTGCCCCGTGGGGGCGCTGTGCCCCGGCGCGGGGGTGCCCAGACCTGGTCTCCCCGGACCGGACCGAGGAAAGGGAGACTCGTAGAGCGGGCAAGCCTGGTTGATGCCCCCTCACCCCGAAGCCCCCCAGCATGGTCTGCTGGGTCACCTAGATTTTGTTCTTTGGTTTTCTATGGCAGCTTCAGCTCCAGCTTCCCTGCACTGTGGACAAAGGAAAGAAAGGAGAGGGCATTTTATGGTAGTTGCTAGAAACCCCGAGGATAGTTTGGGGAGAGGACAGAAACGTGGAGACTCTCCCAGTAAGGTCTCCAGGACTGAAGGCACAGAAGCTAGCTGCTCGGGAACACGTACTCCCACCCCGAACGTTTGACCCAGTTCCCAGCTGTCATAAATCAGGGAGCCAGATGCGTCTGCACCAAGTGCATTTAATCGGCTGTGAGACAGCCGGGAAACAACCAAGAGACTGCAGGGGACTGGGGTCAAGAGCAGGGACGCTGAGGATGGCCTGCCTAGATTGCCTAGGTTAGTAACTTTGGAGTTACCTAACTGTTCTATGCTTCAGTTTCCTCATCTGTTTAGTGTGATAATACCCATGATGCTTCGAGGATTATTCAAGTCCTTAGTAGAGTAGTCCCAGGTGCATCCTAAGGTTAGGTGCTGAGTTCTATCACCACCTGTCTTTCCAGAAAAAGCTAGTGGGTTCCTTTGGGCCGACACCTCCTTCCCAACTCAGGAAGAGAGCCTCTCCATGGGTACACGAAGGCAGCAGATGTTCCACGTGTATTTAACTGGAGTTCTCCATTGAGGAGTCCACTATTGCACAGTTCTTTCAGTCTGCTTTCAAGGTGACAAGATCATAAAACCACGTCACAATACCCAGATGGGTTTATGGTCTGGAAAGTTTCCTCTCGGCTGCCGAAGCTTGGTTCCTTACATTTAATCCCCTGTGGAGAAAGCAGAGACCTGTGGCTCTTCACCTTCTGTTTCCCGATCTTTTTATACTTTTATTTGACCAATAGAGTTCAGTCTCAGGCCCCCAAGTTGCCAGGCCTCTCCTTTCTCTAAAGCAGAGTTCCTTGCTTCTAGGGCCCACACCTAGGCAAACTGGAGCCACCGAAGCCTGAGCTCCCTCCCTGGAGGTGCCATCGTCCACCTCTGACAGACCCTCAGGCGGCTGTCATGCCTGAGGCCTAGCAAACAACCTGTATCTCTGTCAGCAAGAGGTAGTTGAAGGGAGGCCCAAGATGAGGAAAAGGAAATAGACTGTTGCTTTTTGAAAGACAGAATAAGGAATTCATTGAAGGTTCTAGAAATAAATGCCACTGGTACCTAGCGGGACCAGCTCTGTACTGGTGTCTAAGTGAAGGCAGGGGCTGAGGCCAGGGTGGGGAGGGAGAAAGGGCTCCGTAGACACAGGCTCAGGTCTCAGGACAAGCAGACTGAGCAGCTGGCCTATGTGAGGTGTCGGGCACAAAGCTGGGCAGGCAGTGAGACAGGCCGCAGAGGGTTCCACGGTGAGCGGTTGGGTTTAAGACCTGTCAAGTGGGCCAGAGAGTCTCTCAGTGCTTTCCCTGGGACATGGTGTGGAACACACGTGCCCTTGACAGAACCCTTCCCTGGGACTCCCCATTCTTAGGAAAGCCCAGGACTCCCCTGTTTCATGTGCACGTGGGGATGATTCCAGAGCCTGAGGGGAAGCAGGGGGCTGGAGTGCCAAGTGGAGAGTGGAGCATGTCATCACGGTTGCTAGTAAACAGCACCAGGGAGGGCCTTCCAAGGGAGCAGTTGCCACTTGGAGCTCCAGACGTGAGATCATTTTTGAATCCTACCATGTGGCTCGCTCAGCAGACAGCCAGCAGTGCCTTACCCAGCAGGACCCTGAAGGGGGATCAGAGAGAAAGACAGGGCTGGGCTCCATCCCAGCAGCCGGAGCTGCTGTCACCGATAGGTGGTAATGATGATGGCAATGGTGAGAGATAGTCAGGGTACAACCTGGAACACGCTGGTCGTGGTCCTGAAGGACCTGGGTTCCAGTCTCGACCCTGCCAGTCACACCACCTGTAAGGATTTTGAAAAGTTACTTAACCTCTCTGCGCCTCAGTTTTCTCATCTGTAAATGGGGAACAGGATTGCTGGGAGAATTAAATTAGTTAACACACATGAAGTGCTTAGTACCTGGCTCAGAGTATGTGCTCAGTATTTATTAGCTGTTCGTATTATTATCTGAGCCTCGGTTCTATCATCCACGGAATGGGCACGATGCTCTCTATGTCATAGGACTATTGTGAGGGTTAAATGAGGTAGTGTGAGTTAACCCACCCGTGTGTAGAATGTAGTGTGAGCTGGCTGAAATGGAAACTTTTACCAGAACATCTGCACGTAAAGTCAGCGGCTGAGCAGGGAGAGCAGCTAGCACCTTTGGAAAGTTCTTCAAAGCGTGTTGTCAGAGGAACCTTGATCTGCCGTCGGAGAGTGCGGCTCACTCCCCATTGGAATCCCCCACTGATATTTTAGGTATTAGTTTCCTGTGGCTGCTATAACAAATTACCATAATCTTAGTGCCTGAAACAACACAAAGTTATTCTCTTCCAGCTCCAGAAGTCAGAAGTCTGAAACAGCTCTTTCTGTGCTAAAATGAAGTTGTCAGCAAGGCGGCGTTCCTTCTGGGGGCTCGATGGAAAAATCTGTTTCCTTGCCCTTCCTGGCTTCTAAAAATCACCTATGCTTGTTGGTTCCTAGCCTCTTTTTTCATCTTCAAAACATAGCAACTTCCAATTTCCTTCTTCTCCTCTCCTTTTCTCCTCTCTTCCTCCTCCTCCTTCCTCTCTCTCCTCTCCCTTGCCCCTTCTCCCTCTTATAAAGACCCATGTGATTATATTGGGCCCACTTGGATAATCTAGCCTAATTTCTCCATCTCAAGATCATAGCTGCAAAGTCCCTTTTGCCACATAAAGTCACATATTTGCCCGCCCATTGTCTCAGTTGTCATAACTCAGTCAAATCAGCAAAGAGCAAGGAACATTGCATGGAGCTACTGGGCTGGAATCAAGGGTTAATGATTGTGTGTGTTTGTGTGTGTGTTGGCGGGGATGAGGTTAGCATTGTAACACAGGGCCAGACTACGGGGCTTGAACTGATAAGCTAAGGGATCTAGATATTTACTCTAATGGTACGTGGAGGTCACTGGCAGTTTTTGTGTAGGAGCACGAGAAACATGGTATTGTGTTGGGAAGATTGAATTCGGTGCTAGTGCTGAATGGATTCAATAGGGGAGATTTAGAAATAGTCTGTTAATTAGGATTGTATTCAGTTTCCAGTTGCAGAAAACAATGGAAGTGGCAGAGGCGTCATGAAAGAAGCTTATTTCTGTTTTGCATTCCAGAAGTCTGAAGGCAGTGAGTCCGCAGGGAGAGTGGGGTCGTGGGTGTCGCCCACGTTCGGGCGAAAACAGTAAAGAGGAAGACCTGGGCTTGGCCATGGCAGCTGTCTGGTGCAGAATTAGGGCCAGTTTGATTCAACACTTACTGATCCTTTGTTGCTCAATAGATGTGTTCGTTCAAGCTTTATCTGTTTTCTAAAGCTTTATTTACAAAATGCAGCACCCAGTATGTGGAGGATACAGGCGGACAAGGTGTGGTCCCAAGGAACAGCTCACAGTCTAGGCAGGGAGATAGACAGGATAGCAAGGAAAAGAAACCAAGCACTAGAGCAGGTAAGAAACCCATTGTCAGGGGTGCGTAGGAAGTCAGTCATCTCTGGGAAAACTGGGAAACATTTTAGAGAATGGGCGACATGAGCTGAGCCTTGAGAAAGGAAGACAGCTTGGATGAATGTAGAAGGCAGACCTTCCAGGCCAAGAGACCAGCAAGGGGGAAGGCACCCAGCTGTGATAAGAACCTGACTTCTTCAGGCATGTCTGGGGGTGGGGTCAGGGCTACGTGTGGGACTGCCCCCGTTGGAGAGGAGGGCAGTGGTCAGTCACGGAAGGCCTTGAACATTAACATTATGCTGTAAGGCCACACAGAGAAGAGACTGGACCAGGAGTCAAAGGACCCGAGGCAGGAAGAGCAGTTCTGAAGCTCTTTGAAGAACCCGGGGGAGAAATGGAGGGACAGAGCATTGCTGCAGTGGTGGCCACAGCAAGGAGGGCTGGACGGGGCAGCCACGTAGAGGAGTGAAGGCCAGGGCTTGTCCACTCATGAATGCGATGGTGATGTGAGGGAAGTTTCCAGTCTGGGTGGCTCAGTAGCTGAAGTTGCCTTAGTGGTGAAAGGACTTGAGTGCAAGAAGATGACTTTGTATCTGGAAAGGCTGAGCGGGCAGGCAAGCCTTTACTCCACCCAGTAGGGTGAAGAGCACAGGCAGGCAGCGTCAGACAGCATCAGAGAGAACAGCAGCCTAACCTTTAGAGCCTCCTGAACACCACGGCCTCCAGGCCTAGCAGAGTGGGGTTCCCATGCACCAGCCATGCGGGGATAGAGACTCTGGCATTAGGTGGGAGCCAGGAGGTGTGGTCTCTGGGGTGGCTGCAGCTCCAGGACCATTACTCTGTGAGCACGGAGGGTAGTCAGTGTGCTGGCCTGGGGTGCAGGTGGAGCGGCCTTGGAGGGACAAAACTAATGAGTCTGATGTCTAAGAACTTTCAAAATTGGGGGAAGGTGATTTGAA